ATCACTGTTGAAACAGTCCAGGCCAGTTATCCCTATGTATTCTGAATTTCTCCAATGTTGCCAGCTCTCCAGATTTTGCCACGCACATATCAGGAGTTCTTTTTAGGGTGCCAACACCTAAAGTCCTGTTACTATTTGGGAATCCTGGCTCCATTTTTAAATGTGGTGTAGGGCAGCTCCTATTAGACTAGGAGTCTAACTTCAGCCTTTCTATTTGTGTGTTGTGCAAGTCCCAATGCCTGCATGTCTCTTTCCATCCTCTGTTTCTTAGTTCAACCTTTGTTGTTCATATTTACAACTCTAGGTAAAGCAAGAGTTCCTAAATTTAGTGGGAGACTGTAAGTATTGCTGCAATATTAACGATAACAACTGACTATTTTTATTTTAGTGATTCCTTTACAACCACACTGACTTCACTGGGATTACATGTGTGTCGCTTAGGGGCAGATTTGGTTCGGTGGATGTAATTAAAGAAAAATTCAACTACTCATTTTTAAGATTGGTTTTACTTGTTGCCTGATGTATTTGTTAATTATTGGATGGAGTACTCTAAATTATAACATTTTGCAATGACGCGAAGTACCTCTGAGTCTATTAATTAAGCCTCACAGTTCCATGTAAGGTAGGCAAAGCACTTTGATGCGCTATGATTAGAGTGATATAATCCATGATGATGAATAAGCCAAGTCCAGACAAGCACCGTATTCTCACAGTGCAGGCCTGGGAGTGAGAAAGGGGCTTTGTAGCAGCCTTCTCAGGCATAGGCAATTTTCATTCTGTGTGTGAATCTCCACTCTTCTCTGAAGAAGAAGGTTAGCATATGTGCAGATCTGGGAGCGATTCAAAAAACAATAAGAGGATTCCCAAATGGGATGTGAACTGAACAGCCCACATGCCAAGTGTTAAATCATTCACAAGGCTGTGGTACACAGAGACAATGGAATGACGTCAGGGTAATTGTGCCGGTGGGCTGGGGCCTTGCCAAATTCAGCTGTTGGAAAAACCTGTCTACTTCGCTCAGGTGCCAGTGGATGTCTTGTCTCTGGAGACCTCTACGGTAGCAGCTCAGAGATTTGTTCATGTATGTGGGTTGCTGTGGATCAATGGTGCAGCTTTTCTAGGCCTTGCTAGTGCTGAGGTGCTTTGTGGGGTAGGTCGCTACACCTTTATCTCTGCCTGTGCAAAATTTAGGAGACAAATAATCTGAGTCCTGGGGATTTGCTGCTTACAGCACGGAATGCAAATCAAATGAGCGCAGACCTCAGTGTAGACGCATGACATTAAGATTCGCTGTAGCCATGCTCTCCCCCACAGCAAGGAGTGGAAGAGCCAACGTCAGAAGACTGCAGGCAAGGGATTCAACAGAGCTTTCAGGGCTTCGTGAAGCAGGCAAAGGCATCGTGAAGAATTTAAAGATAGCTTGTCATCAGGAAGTTGTTGGCAGCTAAAGATTTGATAAAAGGACTTCCACTCCCTGCCTTGTAATGCTATAGACAACTGTTAATCTCTTATGTTAGTTCTCAAATGGAGTTTGAAACATCTTGACTGTGTCGGACCATCTTCTGGTGTAGCTGAAAGCTTGTTATGTACCCTGGTTCACAGAAACACGACTGACTGGTTTCAATGTTAGGTCATGACCGTGGGAGCAGGCAAAGAAGGAACGTTTCACTATGTGGTAGTTCTGTCATTTTGACTCTGGTACACTGGACTGAGCCGCCATTTTGGATGACATATTAGGTATTGAATTGAGGTTATTTGCAGTTTGAAACCAAATTTCTTTCTAAGTTTTATGATGGGCCATTGTTGTAATACAATAGATTCATCTGCAAGTTGAGCACAGAATAGACTGACTACACCAGTGGCTTTTGCGCCTGGCACCGTGAAGCATTTTCAGATGTTCAGCACCAGTCACTGGGATGACATTTTCAAAAATGCCCAGAGTCCAAAATACTTAGCTCTTTTGAAAAAGTGAGTTCTGCTTGTATGGTCTTTGGTAACGTGATTCTGTGCTCTTTTGATAATCTGTCCAACGTGAAGTAAGTGATGAGGACCTTAAATGAGAAAGTGAAAGGGAAAAACATTTTGGTAATGCACATTATGTGAATGTAACTGTTCTGCTTCCAGACTCATGCAGAACCAACGTGGAGAGCTGTGCTTCCACAGCACAATTAATTTTGTGACCTAGATAACCTGCTAATGGCTGTAGTGAGTGACTGTAGCTCAGTCAGAGACTACTTCTGTGTCTCTGTATGGTACGATGCCACATCAGTTCCAGTCTCCACATCCGCAAGATCCTCAGGGTTCAGGGCTGGTTGATTTACAAGGCTGTTAAGAAAATCAGATTTCTGTAAGGATCATGTAATTTACAGAGTGCGTGGCAGAAGGAACCCTTAACTACAGAATGGTTTGCTATATCAGAACGTGCTTGTCTTTGGCAAGGTGGATGCCTTTGTGATGAAGTGGGTTTCCTACTGCCTTTTCCCTCCCTCTCCTACTTGAGGGATCCAACAGGTGTTTCCTCCAAGGCATATATATTTCCCATAATATTAGAATGAAGAGATGTCATTTCTGACAGGTTGTGTATATAGATGATGGCTTTATTATGATAGAGATATATACACTGATTGATTGGTAGATCTGAGTTAAGTAAAGAAAGCTTGTGAGAAGATAGTCTCCAACTTGCCAAAATACCATTTAATCACTGGCCAAGACATTCATTATCTGAGGAGGGGGAGAAGTATGGCTAATGGATGCAATTGCCTGCAGTTGGCACAGGGCTACACAGAGTCACTGCAGAGATGTAAAGGGGTACTGCTCCCCTTTCCTTCCAGTTTTGTACTAGCTTGTTAAATTCAGGAGAGCCAGTTTGAAGCTGCCCCTCATCAGAGAGACAAAAGGACCTTTCATTTAGCTGAAGGGGGAGTAATTCAAAGCTGATCAGAAGAAATGCTTCATGCATTGTGCAGTTTGCCTGTAAACATTCTTGCTGCAGATGCTCATGAGACCAAGAATACCGTAAGCGGCAGGAGAGGAAAAGCAGCAGGAATAGGTAGTGTGGTGGCTTCAGCTGTAATTTGTGAACCTCTGGAGGTTAGCGGACTTCAGCTAAGGGGCCTGGGAAAAGATTGGAAGTCTCATGGCTTGATAAAGCCAGGCTGTAAGAGGAGCAGAGCTGTCATGAGCCATTTAGCACCCTGTTTTCTGTTTGCCCTTCTTTTTTCCCCCTCCCAGGCTAGTTCCTGCTTGCCAGTGCCTGCTGCTCTTGCCTCCTCTTCAGCAGTAGCAATGCAGCAGCCAGTGTGCGCAGATACATTTCTCTCTCTTCAGTGCCTCTCTTGCCTGAAAGGAAGATTTTCCTGCGCTTTCTGTCAGGCATAGCTTGCACCTTGCTTTGGATTGTCTGGTGTTTGTCCTCATTAAAGATTAGATGGTATTTGGGTTGGATCCACTGTAGGCAATCCCTGTATTTCTAAGCTTGCAGTAGTGTGGAATGAACAGAGATAGGAGGCACTGCAGCGCTGGAAAGACCAGCTCCCATGTTTGGGATTACAATCCAAACCCAGCACATGTCGTGAGCATATTGCAAAGAGGCTTGTGAGCAAGCCTTGGCAAGAGTCAGTCATTACAGTTTTTCTCAGTGCCATTAATAGACCCTTTGTGGCTTTTATATTCTGTACTGGTTTTAGGATAGATGAACAAGGTAACCTATTCTAGTGTAAGCAGTCGTGGGATTTGTTGTTAGTCACTTAGCTGAAGACCTGGGGAGCTAGCAGAAACCTCAAGAAAGTTCTGGCCTGGTCTTTGACAAGATCTCGTGTAGAAAGGAAAAGGTTCTACATCTATGCTGCGTTTACTGAAATGACTGTGGCTTTTAATTAGTTATTCTGGGTAGGAGTTAACCGTATTGCCACAGTACCATGGAATTTGGCACAAACTGCAAACCTCTCCTCTCCCCCTACATTTGCAAGAATGGGCAAATTCTCAGGTTACTTGCTGCAGTGCTAAGCCTAGTACCAGCATAAGTCAGTCTATACAGGGCACCCTCTAGATCTGCCTTGCAGGCATCATAATGAATGACACCTTCCCCCTTTCCTCTCTGTTAATCTTATCTCACCTGATACTGCATAGGCCAGGTAAGGACGAATTGAACAAGAAAAACAAAGACAGGACCATACACATCTCTAGTCATACAACTTCAGTGAGGCTATTGTGTTCAATGTATTTTGTAATTCTAGATGGCAAGTCTCAGTTATCATTGCTCTTTCAGTTACAGAGTGATCAAATAAGCTTTGCTCCTGAGTCAACTGTCCAAGGTTGGTTCTACAAACGGTAAAGCTGGAGAGACGGTATTGAGCAGATGGTTTCTCCAACAGGTTCCAGATCTTTTTCTGTTCATGCTTGGGTCATGAACAGACACCAGTTCTTTCATAACTCTTCCTTGTCTGATCTGTAGCAGTCCTCTGAAGCAGTTCAGTGTTCAGAGCTGAACTAACGTTCAGAGCAGCTTCTAACTAAAGAGCTCTTGTTTCACATGGTCGTGTTACTGCTTCTGGACAAGCACAATGCTCACAAACACAGCTACGTATCTGAAATCCACCTCTGAGAATATCCTGCAATATGGGTCTAATTTAAAGTCCCTGAAGACAGAGGAACAATTCCTACTGACGACTTTTTGCTCTTAATCGAGACCATGTTTATGTAAGTACTGCTCTAATGAATATACCCACTGAAGAACTCTGCAGTATGTTTTTCCTTATATTTGCCCAGCTCAACTGACATATTAACAAAAGGAATTGTTCTACCACGCAACCGTGTTTGCCCTGTGTTGTCATGGTTATGCACAATTCACATACACCCTAATTTTCCTTGCTGCTATGGGATGTGAAAGCTACGAGGTAAATAAAGAGGGCTTCTCAGCAGCAGATGGAGAGATGATATAAACTGTAGCTGCCACTGATGAGAGGTTGTTCTGTAGCTGATCACTTGCTCTCTCTATTTAGGGTTTCAGATGTCCAAGGAGAGGAGAAGAGCAGAGTCGTCCTAGATTCAACAGGAAGGTTCCACTGGTGCGATTCTGTTCCACTGCAAAAGGCTCTTCTGGTGGGTGTGGTGTATATGTTTTTGAGACCCTCACTTGTCTTCCTCCTTGTTCTCCAAGGAATAAGCTGCGTTTCCACAGCATTCATCTGGGTGGAGGGCACAGTGCTCTCTAGTTGACTGTTGTTTGTTCAGCCGTGTTACCTTAGCCCCTGTACAACTTTGACCTCATGTGCAAAGCTAAGAGGCAGACCTTGCCCTGGAGAAGACAGACTGAGGGCCATTACCCCACTTTTCAGGAGTGAGTTGCAGATAAAATATCTTGACCAGGGTCACATAGAGACTGTCACAGTGATGGGATCTGAAGGCTCACTCCAAGGCCACGTTCCCTTGTAATTTAGGCAGCAACCTGGGAACAGAGAAAGATCTCCAAGGTAACGAGGGATCAGTAATGCCTTCTATGTTCATCTGAAGCAGGGTGGGCCTCCTATCTCAGAAGAGGATCTCAGCAGATGGACAGAGGAGGGACTAATTGACACCTGTTTTGCTTTTAAATTTTGTAATGTGTTTTTGGACCTTTGTGTCCCTGACATAATTGATCTGAATAGCTTTAAGACTGTTTGGTTTATTTCTTTAATGTAAGTGTTTAATCCTTAAAAGAACAAATCCCATCTAGAAATGGCAGGTTGTACTCAGAGCTGCCAGAGAGCTGAGAGTAGGCAACCAAATCTTGCAATGAGGTGATCAAAGATTTCATCAAAAATACAGAATGTTCAAGCTGTTCTGCCAGCTGGGAGACTTGTAGCAGGCTGAATTCATGCTGCTTGAAATGCTGCAGCTTCCTTCCAGGCAAATAAAAGGACCCTATTGCCCAGCAACCTCCAAAATAGGATTAGTTATTACAAATGGGCAAATATCCCAATAGAACTGGAAGCTCAGCTCAGAGAATTGAAGAGTAATGTTTTGAAAAGATCTTACAGGCCTGCTTACATGAGAAAAAAGCTTGCAACAGCTAGTGTGTCCTAATTCCCCATGTGCCAACTTTTGTACTGTACTGAGTGTTTTTGTGCAGCCAAGCTAGACTCTGCAAGGGTCTTTTTTTGAGGATTAAAAATGTCCACAAAGGAAATTAGAGCATAATAACTATTGCAATGCACATTGATGCAGTATCTTCCTTTACAAGCAGATTTCTGGGACAGGCAAGCCATCAAAGGCTTGGGAGTTTAAGATGGCATTTTCAGAAGTGAGTTGGGCATTTGACAAAGTCCCAGACTGTACTTCAGGCTTTTAAGAGCTATATTTGTTTAGGTTGTTTAGGTGCCTAAAAGTGCAAGTGTACCCCCATGGGTTTTTTCATGAAGCCTCAGCATTTCATTCTGTGTGGAAAGCATGAGCACGGAAACTTAGAGACATATACCTTAAAAAATTCCCCCTTGATGTCCATGTAGAGCTCAAGGCATCGAAGCGCATCTAAAAGTATGATCTTCTTTGTCTTATACATAGGGCTTGCATTCTTAAATCATTTAAATATTTTGCAAAAATTTTACCCTTAGTCTAATACTACATAGATGTTTGAGACTTCATGTGGTATTTTTTCCTTGACCTCACTTACAAGTAATAAAGTTGGCCAGATATGACCAACTTCTTTGCCTCAGGTTGGAAGGGAGTCTTAAGTCCTTCAGTAGTGTCCTCTGAATGGTTCACCTGTCCCGTTCGCTATTCTGCTCATTCACTCTTCTCACTGCTCCCGTTGATCTTGTAATTGCATATTTCCTCTGCAGGTTTCAGCAGTAATAGTTTTTCCAATTGTTCCTATAAAATAAGCTATAAAATAAATTGTGTTTTTAATTGTTTAGCTTCGTTCAGCAGACTAATCGTTGGACTTTAGGCATGTTGCATTAAATACAGCTAAAGGTTTCATTATTCAATTTAAACTAATCTAATTAGTTAGAGACAATCATTTAATTTGGGTGTGATTCTAATGTCTCATCAGGAAACTTCCCCCGACAAAGTCCCTTGTTTCTGTTTGAAAAGAATACTGCCAGGAAATGAATGTTGCAGGGGTGTACTGATCCCACAGTTCCTGGTTGGTTAATGTGGCCATTAATGTGGTGCCTTTGACAAGACTGGTTTGGCTAACGGGCCAGTCCACCTAGCAATCATGAGAAGCCCCACTAAGCGTTACTCGCCCCCCAGTACTACATTTTCCCAGACTAATTAGCTCATTTGAGAAATGATCAATTAGGCAGGAAAAAAAAACACCAGGTCAAAGCAGTTATTCTGCTTCTAGCCTCAAACTAGTATCTTTATCTGGTTTTACAATTTTGGCACTTTACGTCAACATTTATGAAGTGTTGGATTCCAAATAGTTAAGGGGGAGTACTTCACTTTATATATAGTCCTGTTCTACCCAAAGATGTTACACAGCTAAGAAAGAATAAGTCTGTCTAATTGAAGAGAGAAAACTAAAATATACCTAGCAGCTGATTTAGCAGAATTCTGTTTTAAATTTAGAGTTGCAAGGACCAAGCACTACTGAACCTGCGGGATCACGTTTTGGTTTGTGTGTTTGGCGATGCAGACTCACCACTGATTGGGCTGCAGGACTTCGTGATGCCCTTACGAGCTAGTAACTTCTTTTACCATGAACTGAAAGACATTGTTTTTCTTGGGTCTTTGGAGTATCTGCAAAGAGAATGGAAATTTATTCAGAATTTCCCAAAGCTGTGGCTATTCTCAGTAAGAATTTTTTTGAATATTCTCTCTACCTCTTTCTTCCTTTCTCTAACTCTGATGCACGCTTTTAAATACATTTTAAAAGTTCAGTATGTTTTACGTGATAACATATAGCACAGTTTCATTCAAAAGAACCAAAATTATCTCAGGCTGTAGACTTGAACTTGAACTCAAGATGTTGGTGAAACATTTCATGTCTCAAAACATTTATTTTCTTCTGGGGGAGTCTCAGTGCTCTTTGATTCCCTGATGGGAAATGGGGAAGTACCCAGTAAATTGCAAGAAAAATTCTAGACCTGGGAATTTTCTTCTCTGACCAAAGTTCCTCTAACTTTGGAGATGCTTCCAAAAATGCATTTGTGCCTGCTGAGTTTGAAACAAATTTCATATTCACCTTTCATCTTTAATGTTTCATAATGTTCAACTTTCTCAGATTTCTGCTCATCGCTGTTTCTTTGCTTTTTATCAGGGTAGTGCTCTGTCCTGTGCAGATCTGAGGGCAGTTAATGTCCGGCACTGTGCTGCATGTGCCATTCTGTCTTCCAACACCACTGCTTTGAGCAATCCTTCTCTGGTGGACATGGAAAGCATCCTAGCTACTCTGAATGTCCGATCCATGCAGAGTAAGCCCAGCTCAAGCCCTCTAGGTAAGCATGTTTCCCTTTGTTTTGTGAGTGTGCTGATGTGATAAAAATGCAGGCTACAGAAGGAAAGAACGGAAGGGTCACTTGTCACTACTCTGAGCCACAGTTTCTCCTGAATATAAATATATTTGTTAAAAGGGCCGGAAGCCTGTTTTAGCCTAGCTGGCTTTACCATCTAGTCCAGTTTCTGTAACCAGAGGTATGCAAAGGAGTGATTAGGCTAACGTTGCACCTGGAAATTTGCCAGTCCCCCCTGCAAATTCTGAGTGAGGCTTCTAGGTTTCCAGCAGAGAAGCGGTTAGAGGATAACTGGTAACCAGTGTTGGTAAGTCCTGTGTAATCTGCAAAAGCAAATTTGAATGGAGCCCCCTTCCATTCTTCAAAAAGAAAAATAACGTTGCCTTTCCCTGAGGCTTGAGAGGGTGGGTGCTCCGTTCCCAGACAAACAGAGCTTGTAGCACAGAAATGCAATGAAAGCAAAAACAACTTCAGCCCAATATAATATTTATTGCGTCTCTTCCTTCCCCAATTTGGCAAAGAAGCTAAGATTTGTCCTGCTCTTGAGAATATGGACGTATTAATTAACTGAAGACAGGCTGAGAAATGGATGGCTCTCCTAAGTGTTTTCCCTATACTTTATTATCATTCAGGGCTTTTAAAACAATGGTTGTGCCAAAGAAAAGATTAGAGTGCAGCAGAAACTGGGTTTTTTTCATAATAACTTGACAAAATAATATCAATACGCAATATGTACAATCAGAACAGAAGAAATATGACTTATAAGGGATATTGAGTAAAAGGTAATTGTGGCTTGAATAGATTACTTTTTAAGTAATGTATTTATCTCTATAGATGTAAAGGTGTATGGAACTTTATTGAATGTATGTAGAGAGGAGGTAAGCAATATGTACTTATATAGATATAAAAAATCTGTGTGTCTCCATCTATAAAGTGACAGATATAGATACAGTATCCGGTCCATCTTTACACCTATCTATGGAAAGCTAGAGACTCAAAAGAGCAAAAAGGATATTTTGTCCTATCAATCACTGTCCTACTCTTCTCCAGCATTTTTGCTTTGTCACTCAAAATTGTAATACATAGCTCTGAACTACAATGTGTGTATAGAAAATAGAGATTGGAGCATCTGTTCATCAGATCCTTCTTCAGCTGCCTTTTGCAGAGTTCCTGCTTATTTGTTTCTCTTTGAGGTGATAGCTCTTGGCTTGCATTATTTCCTTGCAGCAGAAGATCTCAGGGACCTAATAATGCTGACACCGGTATGATCAGTTGAGTAAGCTGAGGCATGACTGGTTAGGCAATTTGCCAAGTATATCATTGTCAGAATCACCATCACCTGCGTTTTCAAAATCTTTTTTTTATCCACAAGAATGTATTTTTCCATCAGTTCTCTTCGAAAGGTGGTCATGTGAGGAATTGATTCAGAGATATGGATCTTACATATTTAGATCTGTTCAGCATCCTTGCTCAGTCAAATAATTATCAGAGAGGAGAAAATTTTATTCGCTCACACCGGAAAAGCCTAGTGAAGTTTCTGTCCTAGAACTGCCATGACAGGGTCCCTATGAGGGATTTGCTTGTGCAGAAAGAGGCTAGGAGTTACAGCAGAGACAAGCAGACTCGCAGCTCTTTGTGTATTACCGCTAACACAGTGTTTCAGCACATCAGAAGCAGTCCAAATACACAACACCTTCTTTCAAGTATGAGCAGAAATGAGGATTGCTTGGTCCTACCTCAGCATCCTTGGTAAAGAGTGATGTAGACATTGGCACAGGGGAGGTTAGCGCTTCTGGGTTTTGATGCTGGTTTTGAGAAGGGACAGGATCAAGTAAGCGTAATGGTATTAGATATCCTTCTGTTTCTCTTGCTCCTTTGCTGTCTGTCCTTGGCAGCTATCAGAGCCACGCTGCAACTCAGTGTACAGCCCCATGATAATATTTATTTCCCAAACCTGTTGTAAAGCCAGACAAATTAAAGTTTGCAGTGTAGCACTATGGAAATGCATATTATTCTTGTTGTTATTATCCATTACGGTGATCAGTTTTTTCTGAAAGATTGATTGAAATTAGAGGGGATAGATTCTGTCACCATTTACTTTAACAGCGTTGTCTTCCTCTAGTTGACAAAATACTGTGCTTCTAAACCCACCCTGGTTTTACTATTTTAGGTATTTCACTTTACATGTATTTATACATCACCTATTGCCTAGCTCGGATGTTTGTGAGTTGTCATTCCATAAACTGACTACAGTTACAATCTAATAAATCTTTGGCTACTAAATTAAGGCCGTTCCTCAGATTTACAGGGATTTCTGCAGACAGAAAAGCAGTATTCACTTACAGGATATTATCATCAATAAATAAAGATATATTTACAAAATAAGGCTAAGAAACAAGCTTCACTTCTTCCCCAGACTAGCCATTAAATCTGTTAGTGATTCACCCTCTCTGTAAAAATTAGCTCTCTTTCCTTGTAGGTTCGTTAGATGTGTTGTTAAAATACCCAGCCCATTTTCTTCTTTGCTGCTGTAATTATTTATAATTATAGGCTCAGAATCTTGGGTTGGGATTCTTGTACCAGCCTCTCCTGCTGATTCAATTGCAAGACTAGGACAGTGTTTTACACTCCTGTAGCGCTTTGCCTCTGAAGGTCTCCAGACACATTACAGACCTGTGCCCCTATAGGATAGTAAATTACTCGTAGATTGTTACCACGAGGTTTTGGATCAAGATGCCAGGAGGGGGAGCAGAACCCGCATGTCCCCGTTCCCACTGTTCCAGTCTCTATACTCCCTCCCTAACCCCATTATTATTTTATAGGAATTCATCTCTGAGAAGACAAAATTGTGCCTGATAAAATGCTGCAGTGTCTAAAAGCAGGCAACATAGAAAAGATTGTGTACAAGTCCCTTTTTTAATGGCTGTTGCCTTTTCATAGCCTTACAGATACAAAAACAATTCCTTGCCTTCCTCGGTCAGCTGCTCCTGTTCCTAAGGGCTGTTTTATTGACGTCTGTGCAGTGTGAGAGGAGATTCTAAAAGGCAGTTAGGTACCTTAAGATGCAGATAGACAGTCACTGGCATTTATAAACGCTTCCAAGAAGGTTAAGGCCAACACGCTGATCTTGAAACTTAATTGGACACCCATTTAGTTAGGCACATGAGTGTCTTTGAAAGATGGGGAAAACACTGACCTTTTTTTCTTTACCAGCACAGGTAACTGAACAGGTCGATCACGTGCTGAAGGGGTTAAAAATCTCATCCTGCCCTGCAGCTCTACTAAGGAGTATTTGCAGGGTCTCAGCTTATCTTAGGTGGTCCCAATGGACCGGATGGCCTCCAGGTGAAATAGTTCACAAGGTCAGCAAATGAGGAAGCTTCCAAGGAAAGAGAGACCCTGATACAAGCTGGGAAAGGCGGGCTGTTCTCTGAGTTTCTTTTGATGTGACGAGAAGGAGTAAGAGTAAGGACAGAGACACTGACCTTATTTAAGTAACTAAAGACAAATATAACATAGACAAGAATCAACAGGACAGAGAGTATCAAGAAATTTGCCAGACTCGGTAGCTGTCAACTGAGCTAGGAGATAATACGAACAGTAAATAACAGTATTGTAGTCAGGCTGTGTTAGCGCTCATCAGAACTTGGTGCTGGTGCTACCTCCTGCAGTAATTAACTAGAGGAAATTGTACAAGTGAAATCTACGTTTTCAACTACTGTAGTGTATGTACAGTGGGTGCTTCCAGCAGCAGAGCTGAAAGAAAGAGCAGGTTTAGGAAAAAACTATCCATTTGTAGGATAAAGATCTAGAAGGAGGTATGCGGAAAAGCAAATGGGCAGCTACTAATGTATGTAGGGGAGACCCAAAAAGTACAGCAGTCCTCTGGTTCACAACCTCATTTTTTGAGAGAGAAGGGTAAAATTTATTTTCAGAAGCCTCAGTCCGAGAAAGACCCTCAACTTGACCTTGATTAATGTTAGCAGCCAAGAGTGGAGAGCATTGGCTAGCAGGAAAGGTAGGAAAAGATAGAAAAACAGGAGGGGAGAGTGGATTATGGGGAGTTGTGAGAGCTTACTACAGCAAGATGTTAAAAAGCTGCAGTGGATAAGGTGCCAATTTAAAATCAATTTCTAATTAGATTATGAAACTATTCATCTGATTTAAAAGGAAAAGACAAAGTCTGATGTTTCTCATATTGTAGTTGTCTTTGCTGATAGGACAGCCAGTGACTTGGCTTGATATCCAGCTACCAATCCAAATCCTTTCTCATCCCCGTGTTTGGTGCGGTAGATAAAGCTACACCATTTTGCATCATAACTATAGGGAAAAATGTGTATTTACAGTTATTTGGAGGAAAGTCCCTGTGTCCCCTTAACAGCTCAGGGGCTTTAGTAAACATTGCAGCAAGCATACTCTCAGTTTGGAGATGGTAACAAAGCCTGAATCAAGTGGAATTCCTGTGGTTTTAGATTTCAGTGTGACCATTTCACACCAAACCAACTCAGGCCCATTCTGTGTGTTACCTGTCTCATGGGGTAGAGAATTAGACAGCTCTCTTAGAGAATCAGACCCACACAGAGGTAAACATTACTTACACTTGCAGGAATGAGCGTTTACTAGGGTCAGCACTGATGCCAAGGACTTCTAGTCTTTCCCATGGAAAATTTTAGGTTTTCCAGTAATGCTGTAATTATCACCCTGTCATGTCACAAAGCAAACAGGTTGGCAAACCTAGGTACTGAGCTAAATAATCTGTGGCATAATCTAAATGTATAATGGTAATTAAGTCTGACAACTTAATAAGCTAGTGAAATTCAAATGTACAGAAGTAATCTACAATTAAGTAATCTTTTGTAATAGCACCCTGCCAGTTTGTAAAATTTCAGGTACAGCATTGTGTACTGTTTTGTAGCAAAAATATTGACATAAGGAGAAGGTATCCAGACAATGATCAGACATACATTCAGATCAACCGCTACAGTACATGGAAAGGTAGAATAAAGGCAATGATTCATTTCAGGCATTCAGTTGCTGCCACTTGCATGTGTGCAGAGATGCCATGCTATATCTGGGAAGGGCTTTTTCTGCTGTACTTGAGGGGTTATGATGCCTGACATCTCTAACACAGTTTTTGGCATTTCATCACCTAACCTTAGGGATGGTTGATTAGAAGAGTGGTCTCTCTGTGACCCTGTAACGAGTCCACATGTTGGTCAGTCTTGGTCTTTGTCTGATTGCCAATGTTCGCTTGTTCCTGCAACAGAGAGCAGTGGAAAAATTTAGTAGTAAGGGAAAGGATTGGATAGGATCAAAAGACAGAGAGCTGACTCCAAATGGGCCTGATTCTTCCCTCCCTTACCTTTTTGTAGCTCTCTACTAAGCCAGCCAGCTGGTGAGAACTGGGAGGGAATCAGGACACATGTTTCTAGGAACTTTTAGATTTCTTTTTTAAGGCTTTTTGGGTGTCAGATTTTCAAAAATCAGTGCTTTTGCCTTCACTTCTGCAGCATGTGTCCCATTCATTTGTGCACAGCTGCCTTGAAGGAGAAGGTAAAAACGCCACCCCATCCCTCAGAAAACTCTTGAGTGCAAATTGGCTTACTGGGCGCTTTGTGCCAAACAATGCTGTAACCAGCACTACTGCTCCACAGAGAGTAATTATATTTTAGTTATGATGTCAATAAGCAGCTCCCAGGAGAGATTGTCTTTTTCTAATCCTTTGAAGCTCTGAATGAATAAAGTGAGCCTTGGAAAAGCAAACCAAAGCAAGAAACTTTCTAAATATAGGAACTGCTTTGGAGTTTTTGCATGACAATGACATTATTTTTAGGTACACGTAAGAGATTTCATGTATTTGTCAGTCTGAACCATTGTGGCTTGTGTTCTCTTTTCTTCTTCTTTTTTTTTTTTTGCTTCTGCTTCTACCAACTTCCCTGTCTTTTCATGTTGTTATTGACTGTTTCTACAGAGACTGTTTTCGGAGCAAGAGCATTGGGGAATCAATCAGAGCCATGTTATAAAAGGATCCCCATCACCACAGAGCTGAGTAAGTTATTCTTTGGGAACAAATTTCACAGAAGCAATATGCGTGCTGCATTATTTATTTACCCCAGGCCCTTTTTAGAATTCACAGACAGAAAGCGACAAGCACTATATGTCCAAGGAACATTAAAAGGTTTGACTTAGATGTTAATTCACTAGCTTTGAAAGAGTCAGGATGGTTTATCAGGAGAATAAATATAACAAAGTGTTACGAAGGTCTCAGTGTGTAGCAAAACTCTGAAGCATCCATTTAGGAGAAAGATGATGGTCTTGTTTTTTTGTGCTGGACTAGATCTCAGGAGATCTGAGTTCTAGCCGCTTGGCCCACATTCATCCTGCCTATCCTAAGATATCCTTTCGCTAAGGTAAATAAATCAGAAGCATGTTTGTCTAGCTTCCCCTTGTTTTCAGTGGCGAAAGAGGTACCATCAAAGGCAATTCTGCCCACCTGCCCAAATCTAACTTGTCCTTTTGCAGGGCCTTCCTCTCTCCATTGATTATAAAAAGCACTGAGAATGACTGCATGCCCAGTTTTCATCCCACAACAAAGTGGGCTGAATCAAGGCCTAATTTTCTGTTTCAGCTGCCTCTTTCGGAAATACTTGTAATGGTTCCCTCCTCCTCCTCTGGATTATGGTGGTAGCTACAGGCTTCCTCCCCATGTATATAAGTGGCTGTGAAAGGACTGAGCCTATTCCAAACAGTCTGCAGTTCAGGGCATTGTGCCGTGAATGCATGGGGTCTAGTACTTGGACAGGTCTATACGCACAGCAAGGCAGACAAGGCAGCGCAGGCATTTTACTCGAGACCCCAGACACCTCTGTCCTTATCGTTCCACAAGGCTCAGCCTCTCTAGATTGCATTCATAACTGAGGCAATAGAGCTCTTTCATGCTATACTTGGCTGGTTTTTTATCTTTGTCTTCATCCCCCGATGATTTCAAACTAGATCCATTAATTAGGAACATGTGCACTGATTAACTGATTACTAGTAACATAGCAGTCAGTGTCACACCAGAATGGTGTGGCTGGGCTGGCAGTCCCTGGAGACATGGATGTTTAGCTCCATTTAGAGTGCTGACACAAGAACGTACTCATCAAATTAGCATAGCATGTTGCTAGGCATCATGACTGGCCCCTGACTCACTCGGGCTTTTTTCTGTCTGTCTTTTTTATTTTTTGATGCAATGTTTGTAAATAATATGTGGGCTCAGCAATTTCGGGGAGAGGTCTTTGCTTTCCAAACCTGCCCGGGTTTGTAACTGAGCCAAGGCTAGTGACCAATCCTGGTCTCTAGCAGGCACTAGCAATACTTTATTTGTATGAGGCTGCAGCTGGTAGGTCAGCGTGGGAGAAGTGCAACGCTGTGTCCCAGAAGCAGTGAAGCACCTCAGCAGGCTATTTAGTCCTGTATGCTCCTCAGACTTTCAGTCTGAGGAGCTGCTGAAAGACAAATAGCGCACGATAATGATAAGATAATGATGCCTCCTCCAGAGTCATTTCAGTACTCTTGAATTTCCTGGAATGATGTTTGGATACTCTGCTGTGCTGTGGTTTAGACCTTTATTTCTCCTGTGTCAAAAAGTTTCAGAAATGTTTTGAGCAGGCTACTGAGGCCCAGCTCCTCTGAGAAGATACTGTGTGGTCAAGCTAATATCTTTAGACAGGCATTGCACCAATGTGATTTCCCTCCAGAATTTAGTGCGTCGGTGGAGAGGAAAACATCTGCACTCTATTGACATGACTTGGATTTTAGTCATGTCAGATCTTTGACAAAATAATGAATCGAGCCCAGTCTCTTAACGCCTTCCCCCAGCACATACTGAGCTAACAACACGTGTAATAAGGATGGATTTGGCAGAATTAGCTGAGGGCCCGTATACCTCGAAAAGGGGCTGGATATGAATTCTGCCTTGGGGAGCAGGAGAGTTATGTGTTGTCATCGTGCCCTAACATAGTGCTGCTTCTCCTTGCCTAGTGGTGAGAAACCCTGGAAAAAAAAGAAATGCTAAGCCAACCACTTGACGTGAGGCTAATTCAAGGCCCGTTAAATGGCAAGCTGCACACTGGGTTTTTGCGGGCCCAGATCTACCAAGCTGAGAACCCTTCAATGTGCTGAGCATCTTCTGAACCTGTGGGTTGGTCACTGGGCTCATTGGCATGGTATAAATGGATATTCCTCTGAAACAGTGGATTTTAGAAACCCTTGCCATAAAGGGCCAGAGATTTGGAAGTGATATAGCAAAGTAATCTGCGAAGAAATGAGAATCCCGCAAATATGGGAAAAAGAAAGAGAATGGTGTGGAGAAATAAAATGGGTCGCTTATTATGCCTGTGAGACCATGCTTTTCATACCCAGACTTTCATAAGCTAGTCAGTGGAGTCATGCTGATTAATACCAGGTGCAGGGCCAACTTCTAAAATCCAGGGTTGGTAAAATATCTGTATTGAGGAGACATGGCTGAAGGATGGCACTGATACTGCAAGACAACAGGAGGCATTAATAGTATTGTGATTTTGGCTAGCTTTAGTCATCTTTAAAAATGATCCACTCAAATGCCTCCTGGCCTTAGGGGACATAATAGAAATTAATCATTACTCACATGGAGTTACTTGTTCTCTCTCTCTCTCTGTTAATGGGAAAATATGGGTTCTCAATCTCAATTCCTTTTGCTCCTCCTGTCTGTCTCCCGCTGTGCTGCTGTCACTCATCAGCATTCTTACTGGCAGTGCTAGAATGCCAGGACATACCTAGCACATTCAGTAGCACAGTAGGGGCCCTCTGCCTGGATGTACTTAGACAATTCACTGAAAATAGAAAAGAAAGTTAAAGAAGAATCCCTTTCAGAGTAGAGGGAATTCTCCAAGACTATCTCAGACAGTGAGAATAAGGCTGAGAAGCTAATGAAGATTCTAACATATCACTGTAACAGTAGGACAGCTGTGAAAGTGACTCTCTAACTCCAGTTTAAGCCAATAGAAATAGTGATTGTTCTTCTGTTAAATCAGGAAATTGAGAGGAAAAGGGGTGTGGGTTTTTTTTTTTTTTTTAAATCAAAGCAAGTAAATGAGTTGTGGTCGGGCAACACACTTTTTTGAAAAATGAGTTTTAGGATTCTTTATCTTTTGGCTCCTCTTGCACAATTGATCAGCAGCGCTGAATATTTTGTTCCTCTTTCCTTTACAAATGTAGCATGCTGTGGCTAGCGCTGGACACAGAATGGCTAGCTAAATTTATGGACTTCATTTCTGACTCTAGACGGCTTCTCTCTGTTTCTAAGATGTTTCCTGTTTCTTCCTCGCTTCTCCAATAGAGTCTTCACCAAACGCCCAGTTCATTGATCAGGCTTTCGACATCAATTCTGAGGTCCCAGAGCAAGGTCAGCTTTTCACCTCTGCGGCCTGCACGGGAGATATCTTCTCAGATAGCTTCTTGAATTCTCTTTTGTCTATTGTAAGTAGATGCATCATGTCCTGTCATAATTAGTGGTGTCAGAGACATCCCCTCCCTGTGAGGAGTGTAACAAAGTGATGGCCAGCCAGGGTAAATCCGCTTAACCTAGCCTTTACAATGGTCAGCGCCAAGTGCTTCAGAGAAAGGCACAAGAAACCTTGCAGTAATTGGTGATTTAATTAGTTATTTTATGCCCCGAGAATTATACATGTCCATTCTTATGTAAGCAGTTTGCTAATCAGAGGGCCTGTGTGATTTATTGGGGTAGTGAGTTCCACAGACTGAAAGACAAGCATCAGCTCCAAAAGACATGACTCTCAATGCACTCTCCCTGTGGTTGATATACACATAGAATTATTTGGAGAAACTTTTAGGGTGTTTTGATAACTCCCTCGCTTTCCCAGCTCCAAAATACTGGTACGCTACAAAAGGTACGTAGAGTCAGCCTAATTTATTTACTTTTTGATAAGATGTTGTTGCTATCAGCCCCTCTAAAGGGAATGCAGTCACTGAAGCCAAAATTTGGCACAAGTTGGCCCCATGCTGGAAGTTTCAGCAGTGATGCCAAAGGCTGAGCAGATTATGGGGACTTTGAGTTCTTTCCTGTTCATGCAGAATGGATTTTTACAAGTCTGGCTGGAGGTGCGTGGGTGAGCTAGGGAACAGGGAGTGTGCACTATCACCATATCACTACGTCTGCACTAGAGCAGACATAGGGATAAATAGAACGTTTAACTCTTCTCATCTTTTTAGCTGTCAGTCTCGCACCTGGGCAGAAATTTAGGTGGAAGTTTGGATGGAATATCCATTGAACTCAATGGGAATCTCTAAGCAGTTATTTTCTGAAAAGGTCTAAAATGAATTCCTG